CCTTTCTCAGGGCAGCTGTAAGAGAGAGCCCTTTTTCAGGGCAGCTGTAAGAGACAGCAGAGAGTCCTCTTTTAGGGCAGCTGTAAGGGAGCGCCACAGCAGACTGTGGATGCCACCAGCCAGGTAGCGGTACCATTCAAGCAGGAATGCCCCAGTGGATGAATATATGTGTCATGAAAAACTGTTTGTAATATAAGCATCATTACTGAAATGGAGCTACGCATGATCGCAAGGCAATCAAGTTGCAGGCGCTCTTTGGGAGAACACTTCCTGCAAAGGCACAAGTGTCTGCAGCATGTACAAATGCCCAGCACGGAAACGGCCTTGGATAATTGGGGCATGTTTGATATGTCTCATCTTGCTTCCTATTGGCCTGAATATGGACATTGAAGAGCAAGAAACACCTGAAAAACCTTGAAGATGACATAGATATAATGCATACTGTGTGACGCTATCTTCTCGGCACCACTATGTTCCACAACCAGCACTCTCCCTCAAATTGAACTCCGTTCAGCTCAGTGTTGGCCTGCAACTCTTCTTCCTGCTCTTCTTGCTGGTCCTCCTGTCGCGGTGCTTGATTCCTCACATGATTCCTTCCACTCCTCAAATGCTGTGTCGCTTCTTCCACTCGAACGCTCTTGATTGATGAGTGACTCTCCACCACCTGGGTTTTCTTCTCTGGGATATCTGCCAGGTGGTGCTGGTGCAGGTGTCCATGAACTAGGAATACCATTGCAGGAATAATAAGGAGAAACAAGAAACTATACAGAATATTTGCCTCCACTGCTGTTGCGGATTCCTCACCATAGCCGATCCAGGTCCGGTCAAGGAATGCTGAAGCAACTTAGCTGCTCGACCGAGGAATGTCATGAGTTCAAAGGTCCAACGAATCATCAACCATCGCGTTTTGAAAAAATGAGGACCTGTTGATCCTGTTGGCATATGTTGGCACATGTGCCATATATGTTTTTTGGGATCAAGGTTGAAACGTGTCAAATAACATCAAATAACGGTTGTGAACTCGGTTGTGACATTCCATACGTCCAGCTTGCTCGGCTCATGCTCACGCTCACCCATGCTCACCCATGCTCAACGACCCCCCAGGTCCCAGCCAGAATGACCAAAGCCCTCAGTCCCCCTCAGTCCCTGGTTGATGAAAGGAACCCATCTGGTGTCAGCTTTTCGGTCATGCCACCCAAGGTTGATGTACACTGAACAAATTCGTCCCGACTGGGCATGGCTTGTTATGAAATCGACTAAAGAAGAAAAGAACGGCCACTGCAAGACCTCCGGCGTGGAGGTCTTCTTCCCCATCTCCTCCTCCTCCAGCTCGAAGCCCAAGATCGCCGCGCAGGAGCTACAGGACCTCAGGATCGCCCGCGGGGCTTTTGCCACGTCCTGAATTCTAAAGCCAACACATTCTCAGGCTAGTCGGATGATTGAATTTTGTGATTCGACCATGGGCTCCATGATGGATCTGTTGCTGGTTCCGCGCAGCTTGGCATTGATCAGTTACCTTTCGTCCATCTACCCCACATGGGTGTGTAGCTCAAATAAGGAGACCTCACAGGCAGAGCAACGGTCCCTTGGAAGGTTCGGCGAATGAACCAGTCTGCCCAGCCAGGGGCGATCGGGTGAAGCCACCCGGACCACCAGTCTCATCCGGCCCCACATGGCGCTGTTTGGTATTCGTGCGGGGCGGTTCGCGCCTGAAGAGGGTGGGGGGTCCATGATCTTCGTACCTAGCGGAAAAGCCACGGCAGGAATGGCAGCGTGGAGCTCAAGAACACCACGAGTTGCATATCATTTCAACTTTGTGAAACTTGCGTCCCTTCAGATCAATGAGCAGCTATGGCTACGACAAAATGATGAGAAAAAACATGCTCTGTGGAGAAGTCTCTGACAGCACTAGACTCCCTGGAACTAACAATGGAAGTGGAGGCCATATGGCCCCAGTGCCTGATCCTTTTCCTCTACAATACAGGGTGTTTGCATGTGTTTTCCACTTCCAATGTGACTTTCCAGGGAGTGTAACCCCTGCCAACTCATGCGCGCAGTTGGGATGTTCCCACCAAGCGGTCCGTTTGAACTCTTCGCGTCGGTCCGGACCCAGATCCACTGGGTCCGGAGGGTGGACGATCCACGGGGGTCGGAGGCCCATGACCAGGGCCGAAGCGTGGATGATCGTTGAGTCAAAGGGTTTGGAACACAAAATGATGATTGTTACTCCTCTTCTCTATTACAGGTTCTGGGCGTCTACCCTTTCACAATCATCCAACAGAATCGTGCAAAACCCAAGCCTTTACAAGCCTTCTTAAAGCCTCGTATTTCAGCCGATTGACCAACCCTTTCGGTGTGTATTTCAATAGCGAGATCTGGGGAACATCCCCAGGATGTGTCTGTGGTGTTCCGTCTCCGCTCCGTCTCCGCGGTGGTCAGGGGTCGGAATTCCGTCGGGAAGTCGCTCGACCTCGTCCGTGAGACACAGCCCATGAAAACCTGAAGAAATGGACCCCTAAGTAGTGAAGTAGTTAATAACTGATGAATGGATCCCAACTTATGATAATTTTGTTTGTGTAGTTCATAACTACTTGGGGGTCCATTTCTCTAGTTGTGATTTCTCTTGTTGCTGAATTGAATTGAATAGGACCCTCAACACCCTTTGTTCTTGTTGGCTCCACGAGACCGTCTTGTTGGCTCGTCTGACGAGCTGACGGACGATACGGCAAGCTGACGGACGAGCGTGTGTCGTCTATCCCCCAACAAGGGTCCCATGATGCTTGGACAAATCGATTGTCCATCTATCCAAACAACGATAGAATATGATAGTGATACAGTGATACCAGTTGATTTTTTTGGGGTTTTTTACCACTGGTGTTACCTAAGTGTTCTGGACGTCGTTTTGCAGATCTATTTTTGGACCCTTCAGCCATTACCTTCTGGTTCTCAGTTCTCACGTAAAGTTTACAGGTTGAACAGGTTGAACATCCAAAAACTCTGAAAACCACCTCAGCGCCCCACAAAACAACGCTCCTCACTCTTCTACACGGTCATCCTTTGGTTCGGGGACCTGGATCCACCGTGGGATCTCTCCGTCTACCGGTCGGTGTCCGTCTCGGGTCCGGCCTGGTTTCCAACTCCTCGGGTTCCTTGCCACAAAAGACACAGAGTCCCGGCTCGACCTCGGAGAAACCAAAAAGACACACTGAGGGGAGGGGATGGGAGGTGAGACAGGGAGGTGATGGTGATGGGAGGTGATGGTGGGAGAGTCTACCAAGGTCTACCGAGCATTTACAGTAAAAAAACATGGGTCATGACTCGAAATGTCATGATGAGCGGGGTTCAAAATGGAGTCTCCGACCTGCACCCAAGTGGGTGAGGGTGGTGTGCAGGTTCTCCCTTTTGGTCTGCAAAACTCTTGCAGCTGTTTGCTTTTACTCGGAGCACCAGGATGTATACTGATATGCAATGGGTGCGCTGCATTGGTCACTGAATCAAACATACTATAAAGACAGCACCTGGAAATTCGACCCGGTCGGTCTGACCGAATCGATCGACGTTCGGAACTCGACCGGGCGGAGGTCGGCCCGAAAAAGGGGTCTGAGGGGGCGGAGGTCGATCTTGACAGCAAGCATTCAGGATTCCTGACAGCTCAGAGCGTGATTTTTGGACCCCGCAAGTTCTTTTGGCCACCTCAAGCAAGTTGAGTTCTTTTCATGGAAGCAAGAAAATCACGTTCGTCGGAAAGAGAGATAACCAGTTCCCCATGTTCACACTGATCTGAAATTCTTCTCCAGACATCTGATCTTCACACACCATGGTCTGGGCCGTGTGGTGTGGTGTTGCAACGTGTGGCCCAGCTCACCCATCTCAAGCCTTTCAAGCCTCTCACACCATGTCTGGGTTCCCACGCTTCTTTCACACATTGCCACCATTCCTTCAATGGATCGCTGGCTTCTTTCCTGATGGCCGATGCCAAGGGGTGGGAGCGTCGCCCGGCCTTGGGAGTGTGTTCCCACTTTGGGCAAAGGCGGGTTGATGATTCACAAGGCTTGAGATTCTCAAGGACAGAAACACATTGACCATTGCTACAATATGTAAATAATTCTAAATGTTTTGTTGTAACCTTGCGATCGGAGGATATAAAACAAAGCATGCTGACAAAAAGAGTCATACCCACTCATTTTCCAGCTCCGTGATGCAGAGCGAGGGAGGGAGGGAGGGAGGGAGGGAGGAGGGGAGTTGAGACTTTCTCATGGTCTCCGTCCATCAAGAAAGTTGGGCACCCTTTCTCAGGGAGCCCTTCTGATCCCCTCAATACACATTCTCAACCCCCTCCCAACGAACACCAGCCGAGCGACTCTTCGATTTTGGCTGGCCCGCGGAAGCCTCGAGGATCCAGTGGATGGCGCTTTAGGACCACTTTCGGCGCATTTGGGAACCTTGAAACTCCTGCAAAACACCATCACCCCACTGAAAGATGCTCCAAAGCTACTTTGTTGGAGTGGTCATTTATCCATCTATGACCAAAACCTCATCCTGGATTGCTTGGATTTGATGAGGCTTGCTTGGTCAGGACCCCTCCTATCTGCTGCTTCTTCGCTGCGCTGAAAACTGACTGCAACATGCGTGATGGAACGCCTTCTGACACAGATCAAGTTAGCAGAATGATCCAAACTGGCAGCTTCACTGGCAGCTTCACCGATGGCTTTTCAGATCAGTGCATATACTGTACCTATATGGGTGTGACTAGACTAGCCTTTGGGGTTCTCCCACGCACTCAAATAGAAATCAGACAGGACAACCATGGTGACTCTGGCCACTTGTCTGTAAGCCCGCAAATCCCTTCACCCACGACTCCAAGGAACAATAGGCCGCCATGAGCGCTAAGCTGCCTGCCAACAAGGTGCCTCGGAGTGCGTTTCTTAAAGCACTAAGGAAAATGGAGATGAGAGGGGTGCTCCCAAGTCGCCCCAAAACGAGCATGCCGTGGTGGCTGATAGTGACCGCTGCTGCTGGCTTTCTTGGTGGGTCTGGGCAGTTATGTACTTGACAGAAACTCAACTTGTTTCAATTTGTGAAGCAAATGGTTGGGTCGCAGTCTCTTGTCTGTACAGCCCAGTTTGTGCTTTTGAGAAGCTTCCAAACACCAAGATTTGCGGCTGGTAGCTTTGGTATTGTGCCGATTTGCTGGAACAGTAGAAGCTGGATCTCAGCGAATGCTCACATGTTTTTGTGGCGGATCCTGGTTGATTTGGACAGCAGTAGGTCAGTAGGTGAGGCAACAGGACGCCTTAACACTTCACGTTTCCAGCTTTACTGGCAGGAGCTTCGACACCTGTCTGGTTTCGATGTTTTGAGAATGCCTAATCAGATCTTGAAGGGAAATGAAGAACCAGTTGACCTCAGGGCTTTCAATTTCAATGTAGTTACTATTAGTTACTCTACAGTACATGTTTCTTGTTGTGGAAATCCGAACTCCTATCGTTCATTGTTGTGGAAGTTCTTCTGTCAACAACGCTATAAGGTGTGCAACAGCTACGCAGCGGTTCGTTCTGCTTGGCTTATATATATATATATATATGGTACCCCCCGGGACCTACCTTTTTGTACTTTTCAGCGGTATTTACGGTGAATATATATATATATATCAAGGCTTCTTTAAGCTTCCTTAGCCTATGAGAACGTGGTTCCACGTTGGTGAATGGGTGCGTATGTTCTGTACCCAGCCGTAGGACTGCTCCGCCAGCGGGGACTCTACAGTACGGATTTATTGGGCTGAGGAAGTACCTCAACATACCTCAACCATCCTCAATCTAGTCCTTGTAGTACCTCAGTCTCAACCTGGTATCTGGGGCAAGAACACAGAAATCACTTGCGTGGTTCCAGCTCTTCCAACTGCTCCAATACTTTTGAAAAGGCTTTCAGTCGATCTAGTCTTTAGTCATCTTTAAGTCTTTGATATCGGTCCAGTTGGAGGCCAACGCTCTTAGGTTGGATGCCATCGCTAGTAGCTTGAGGGCCTTAGCCTTGATCATCCCCCAGTGGTTGGTGACAGATCTGCAGATCTCAGGTCTGCTCTGATGTTCTCGGGCAAGTTGACGAACTGGCCTTCCTGTCTTACATGTTCTTACACTCATGCACAATTGCACAAGTAATCCCAGAAAGCCAAGATGCTAGGAACACTGGCGATGATAATACTCGGGTCCACTGTCACACCTGCACAATTGTTCGTCAGAAGCATTTCAAAACTGTGAGTGATGCTGTGATGGCACAGCACATAGCCGAGCCTCAGCCTCTCCGTTTGAAAGTAGTTATACAGTATATATAAAGGAATATAAAGGAATTCTGCAGATCTCTTGCTCTCTCCCTCCAAGAAATTTGATGGCTTAAACTTTCGGTGCACGTTATCGCCTCTGTGCGCCAACATACACGCCTGACAACCATCACGGTGAAGAATCCCAAGCAAACATTGCACAGAAGCGAGTCAGGGCTCACTTAGCTGATCCAACCATGGCAAAAGGACGGGATTCTGTTTCGGAGCTCTTTCTTAGCCCATGAGAAGCTATTTGTCAAGATCTGCCCAAGCAAACATCAAATGCTTTCAAGTGTACCAACAAAAATACTGTAACTAGATGGGCCCAAAGTCCGTCTTAAGAGACAGTGATCCCTTAAGAGACACCTCTCTTAAGACCGATCAAGAGACGAGGCGGTGGACCGGTTCGCAGCTCCGCCTGGTTCGCACACGAAGGTCTCTGGGTTTAATTGGCCACGAGTGCAGTGCAGCAGCGTTTGCGATGCAACGTAGCCATCCTCCCAGGGGACCAACGTGAGACACGGTGAGACCGGGAGCATTGTTTCTCTGGCAAAAACGATGTGAATGGTATTCACATACCTTTTGGGCTACAAAAATTCAGTTGATGGAGTTGATGAAGCACATCCTACACATTCCTGCACAACCTGACCAAGACAGTGGGAGTTGCAGGGTGCGTATACCAGCCAAAGCAGTCTGTTATCAATGTTGTAGCCATGGAAGCCATGGAAGGCAATGCGGAGGGATATACAGTGAAAAAGAGATCTCTGCAAACAATCTCTACTCAATGCTGCCCGATAGTCTGATATACAGTACATCTCTTGCCATAGATGAGATGCATTCAGTCAAATGCTGGTGTGAACAATAATTAGCAGTATCAAAGAGTAAACACTTCTCTCATGCATGATTGAGTAAGCAAAGGCCCTTTGGGACATAATTAGTGAGAAACAATTTCAGAAAAGCGTTCCCAGACAAGCCAAAATCGAACTCTTCAAACATAACTCTGCCAACAATATGCTGACTGTCCCAGGATTGCCCTTCATAACGTCGACTGAATTAGTGCATCCTCCGAAACGTCTGTGCAGGTTATGATACACTCAACAACATCTACATGCGCCAGCGGATGATGCAGCTCACTTGGGTGATGAACACCCAAAGCAGGAACCTTCAGAAGTCTGGAGGACAACCTTTCTTACACTCTCTCTCTGAAACAATACAGGAAAAAAAAAAGAGTTATCCAAGGGGCCATGCCATCCACTTCCATGATTATTTCAAGAAGTATATCTTTCTTCGGAACCCTGGCACAACAAGGGATAACCCGCCTGACACAAAGGCGTGCAGGTCTCACGGGACTTGATCTGTGGCAAGCCGCTGCATGCAGGACCTCAGTGGGGGCCCCACAGCACTGGTTCATCACGAAGCCCAAACCTGGAACCGCAACAATACCCTGTAGCGAACGGCCTCCCAGGTGGTCAACCAAGGTATCCTTTGTTTTGACCCACGACCATAATTGAATAACAAACAAAATCAAACAAACATCATCAAAAATAGAATCGATATCTATGATATGCCCGTCTGCATTGTCATCTACCTCAAGAATCCAGGCCTTAAAGTGGGGACGGAGAGTCTGTTCTATGAATCATTGTGAACTGTACATCTCATGCAGTGTCTTTTCTTCAAGCAAGAGAGCGTGGCCCATCTCAAGGACTGGACCTGCATAAATGAATCCATTATTGCTTGTAAATCAATCATACAACCCCCCAATACCTTCTGTCAGATTCTGTCCCAACTGGGAACATCAATTTACTATATATTCATAGGCAAATCCATCAGTAGAAAGTAAGTCCGGGAAGTTGTCCAGCTTCATCCCAGTGACTGGCCGCATGAAGTACCTCAGGAGCTTGGCAGGAGGCTTCCTGGCAGCTGAAGCTGCTTGGCGTCAGCCGGCCTGGCAACGGCAACGGCTTGGCGTGGAAAGGGTATTGAGGGTCCGGACCCTTGATCTGGAGGGTCCGACCCCTTCCATGTCCAAGGGTTCTTAGGGATACAAAACTGGAAACAAATTAAACTGGTCACCACACCTGGTTTCGCCAGACGCACGTGACTGGTCACCACACCGCTTTTCCTCAGCACCAAAGGACGCTTCTCCCTGCGTCGGCCGGCGCGTCGGCCGGTCTCTGCGCGCCTCTTGAACAGCCCAGGCTCTGCACCGAGGGGGCGTAGCCCGCTTCACACTGAGCGGTACAAACGCCGCCTGGCCGTGAGCACAGGCGCTTGACCTGAAAGGACTTGGTACCGCAGGTATGCAGGGACTGGAGTCACTGGATCAAAGGATCCCGTTTCACAGCATGTTGACCGGGCTTTTGGGGGAATTTCGATGGACTTGTCTATTGGTGATGTGTTGGTCTTTTGATGTCTGTGGTCATTTGTATTTCAATTCGGCACCAATTCAGCTTCTCTGGACCCGGGACCCAGTCCCATCGACCCGGAGACGTCTCGTCTCGAGCTACCTCGAGAGATCGACCTATAGTCTGAAAAAGGGTTCCACGAGGTTGAAAAAGGACAGTACTATTTATATAATATACCTAGACACTCCATGTATTCCATATTTGCATACATTGGGGTTGTTTTGGGGGTCAATGTAGGCATATATGGCATACATGGAGTGTCTGGGATACTGTATGCCGGTCTATCCTATTAGCAGTAACAGTGGATGATGATGGTTAGGTTTCAGGCCTTTCTCTGAAATGATAATTGCCAATTGCTTACCAACAGTTACTGGCAATAGGACAGACCCAAACTGCAGGCATCATGGCCCTTTCAACGCCTTTGGTGCATCGCTTGGATGGTCATTGGACTCAAAACATCCAAGAACATCCCATGGCTTCTTGCTAAGCATCTTCAAGCCCCCCCAGTGGTGAGTGACCGATTTCATGGCCCCTTCGACCTCAAACATTTGCTTCGAGGAACCTCCGAGGGCCGACACCCCCCTCAGTGGCCCTCGATGGCATCGTCCTGCCTGGGGCCACATCGTTGCCCTCCAAACAGGCGCTGGAGGCTGAGTAATTCACCTGAAAGGAGCCACTGGATGGCACTGGATGGTGCGACGGCCACGGAGCCAGAAGGTTTTTTTGGACTCCAAGGTGTGAAGATGGAACTCCCAGCCACAGGATCGGACTTCGGAAGTCTCCAAAGTTTAGAGGTTTATACAAAGGTTTTGTCGGACGTTGGACCTGTCTTGGAGAATCCTGATGCAGCCTGTCTGGAAAGTCTTTGGCTTATTTGGTGTGCAAGTCTACTATATAATGGTAATTTACTGGCCCAACTGTGGACAAGTGGTCCTAGATGATTCACATGGAGGGAGGACATGCGGCTGTGGCATAGTGTGGCTCCATACAAGTAAGCTCCATTCTCAGATATTTGGGTTGTGTTGGTCTTCTTGATCCACAGCCATCTAGTCCTACAGGATTTTGGGTGGTCAATAAATTCTTGGTCCATCTTGGCTATAGGAAATGCTTTTGGTCTTTTTCAAGTCAACCGGGCCGCTCACAACTGCGCACCCCGGGTCGATGTGGTCCCAACAATCCGCGGGGCGCCGGCGCTGCGGTCTCAGTGGCGTTGGGTGGGGCACTGCACGAGTCCTCTGCACAAGCAAACTGCGGGGGGCTCAACTGGCCCTGGCTGCACTGCAGTTGCGCCACTGTTGGCGAGTAACCTCCCAGCGACGACGCGCCCGCAGCGGGCGCGGGCAAATGACGCAGGCTGTTTCGACCGGTGACCGAAGTGCGTCGTTCTTGCATCACATGATGTTTGGGAATTCAGCTCCGAGCAAGGCCTTTTAGAGGATGCTAGCATGGGCACCCTTGCTGCGTGAGCCGCAGCTGAGATGGTCTGAGTAGGTCACTAGGACGATAGAACGTGGATTGTTCATCCGTCCTCTCGTCTGGCTGAGTCCTCGACAGCCAATCCAATGAATGTCCAAAGCTGTGATGTCAAGACGATTGAAATTGGAAACACCGCTTCGAAGCACAGGTTCAAATCCAAAGAGAAAAACGACAAACCCTGTGCGTGTCCTCCGTTTTGATTTGTTGATGGTGCCCCACAAAAACGTGTATGACTGCAGAATGGAACTGCATCAGAAATGGACCATCTTCATCAACCCCAATATTGACCCCATCCACCCGGCGGAAGCGCCAAACGAAGCGCCAACGAACCGCCCGGCTTCGGAATTTGCCACGAAACTCTCTGGCAGCATGGCCAACTCCCTTCAAGGCCCGCGGGCCATGAGCCATGAGATGAACTCCATGAGCAAAAACAAAATAAAACCATACAAAACCCAGATCTGCAAACCGTGAAAAGCATGTTCTGAGCCATCGCTGAAAACACTCTGAAACATGACACCTGGCTCGGATTGCCCGTTGTTGTCAGCATCCAGTAATCTTGAGCGGCACCGACAACTGGCGCCTTCTTGACAAATGGTGCTGCAAGCAGTGCCACTCTCAATCAGCGAACCCTCCATGCAGCTGATCGTCCTCAGTGGTGAAACCCACCACTAAAACACACGGAGAGGAAACTCCCAAAGCAAACACCTGCTTTAACAGATTGTGGGAATTGTCTCGTGCACCACTAAGGCTAGGACTGGGGTACCATCCGGGGTTCATGGGTTTGTAAGTGACGTTCCTCATCTTTCATCTGAGTTTTGCAAAGTCTGGTGGCCGACCTATCATCAGTTCAAGCATTCTCCTCCTTCTGCGAAAATGTGTGTCTTCGCCATGGTGACCAACCTCCCGCAAATTCCGGATTCACACAACTCCCATGTACCTCCCCCGCCCTCCGATGCCGCATCGCTCCACCCGCCCCGCCTGGCGTAGGCCACGTCCTGCGGCGCGGCGCAGGGGCGCTCCACCGTGACAAGGCGCGCGTCCGCCGCGGCCAGGCCGTCACCTGGGGAGGCGACAGGGAGGGCCGGCCCGAGCTTCGTCTTCGCCGAGCGAAGACGTCGAGGCCACAGGGCTGAAGTGGAGAAGATTGAAATGCCAAGGGATTTCTTTCGGCCAGGTGAGGTCCGACGTTTTCAGGTCGTGGGGGTTTTGAACCCATGGGCGGTGTTAGGTGTCACCGTTTTTCGAGCGGCTGCTGGGAGCTGAGAGTGACAACCTCCAACTAGCAACAAAGCCGTTCTTACTGTACGCTCTGAGTCCCCGGACACCACCAGTGTTCAGCAGAAACACATCATCACACAATGGCTGTTGGAATCCTAGAGAATTACTGTAGGGTCAAAGGTGAGGAACAAGATTACTGTCACCAGCTTTGTCCTGTCACCAGATCCGATCATGATTTTTGTGGAAGCAGACACATATCCTTTCCCTATGATGATTTGGATTCATTTGGTTCATTTTCCAGTGTGATTCATTTGGATTCATTTAGTGGATCACGGTATGGACTCACACTGGACTCACACTGAGATTGGGGATTGCTCAAGTGTCTGATGGACCCCACTGCCGTGACCAGAGGCCTGCTTCCTAGGCACTGCCTGCCGTGACCCAGAGGCTCCAGCGTTGGCTCGTGGGAATATCCAAGGTGAGTGGTCCCAGAGAGGTGCAAAACCTCAATAGCTTAGCAGCACCTTGTTACAGCCATGCACCTTGCTACTAGTAGCTTCTTGCTACTAGTGGAAATGGCCTCCAACCTAATAGCGATGGCCTCCAACCTAGTAGCTTCTTATTCCTAGTAGCTTCTAGTCTCAATAGCAATGATCCGCAAGGTTTTTCTGTGACCCGCTGAACAATACTGAACGTTCTCGCGTGGAAGTATCACATGCAAGCTGCAAGCATCTGAAAGTTGTGAGTTCGACCGTTGTATGAACTGACCCTCTGCCAAATCTTCCTCACATTTCCTGACTGTCAATGATGGTCATTGTCCCTGTGCGAAGACTACGCCACGGCAGTGGCGTAAGACTGCTGTTCTCACATGGGAAGGGCTGTCGTTCATGGGTTCAGCCACTACAAGGGTGTCAAAAGCAGCAAGGTAAATCGGCTACATTGCATAGAAATGTATCTTTATTTAATATGAAGTACGGTCAAAATTTATTATGTGTGGCTGTTGCATCCTCAGATTTGTGAGTCCCCTATCGGCATCTTCCTACTTAAAATCCCCGACTCAATAGCTTTCAAGTGCAGCCTCTCCCCGCCGTGGAGTGTTGTGGGCTCCACGGGCCCCACGAGCATGCGTCGTGTGCAAGGAGCTGCTTTTGAGAGACCAAGTCATTGGAGTCCGAGACCAAACATCGGGAGGTGTCACCTTGGTAGCTGGTGAAGAAGATTCTTTTTCGGCCACCCAAATGCAAATGATACCATTGTTCACCTCTGGTGGCCTGAAGCTGGGAGCCTTGAACAACTTTGAACATATCAGTGACCACCGAGAACTTGGTGATGCTTCAAACATCTTCAAACCACATAGAGCAAGGTTCTCCGCTGACAAACAACCGCGTTAATGCTGTCATTACCAGTCTCAGGGCCCAGAAAACAAAAACGCGACCATCACCGAACCAACCTGGCAGGAGACTTGCAATCACCAAAAGACACCAAGACCAGGAAAAGGACGAGGCAAGAACTAGGATGAAAGGATGAACACCACAAGAAGAACAACTCTCAACATCCAGAAACAGAAAAGGACACCTTAAGAAACTAAAGAACCCCCCATTCCCACGACCCATTCATCAAGTCCCTCCTCCACATCCGCGTGGCTGGCATCATGAAGGGTTGCTGCTGGATGCACTTGAAAGGCCTCCGACAAATGAGTGACCTCCTGGGCGGGTTCCATCGTCCCCCGTCCCCCGGACGTTGAAGGTCCCATGTCGCAGGCGAGGCCAGGCTCGGTCGTGTCAGTGTGGCGGTCGCGTGGCGGGCCGTTCGTCCTGAAGGCTTTCGACCAGTGGGTGTGCATGGTTTTCTCTTTGTTTACCCAGGAAAGGACTTCTGTGGGGCCATGATGAATCACGGATCATGGAGGGGTCCCATAACTGGTGAGACATGGTGAGATATGGTGCCTAGCTTGAGGGCGAAACGAAGAGGGCGTTTTGGAAAGCACAGGTGTTCTAGGACCTGGTCCACTTATGATGTAGGATCCATGTTGCTCCTTCATCTTGATCTACGCATATCTACGCGTGGAAGGATCAAGGATCCAACCCAAGGCGGTCCTTCGTTGGTGCTTCGACATCCGGAGGATCTCGATGAATCGATGAATCGAGTCCGGGAGTTTCTTCGATGGAAAACCGGGCAAACTCGCTCCGTTCGATGGAGAAAAACAAGGCTCAAAAAGGTGGAAGAGATGTTTGACACCTTGGGACACCATGGGACACCTTGGGACACCCGAAATGGGTCTCCCATTTAAGGAGATCCCCTTCCACACGACAGCGTCCTTGAAAAGCACATGCAGCGCATTACGTGCGCATGCAGCGCGCGCATGAAAATCATAGTTGACACAGCATCGCTTCGGTCTTCAGGGGCGCTCCAAGCTGTGTAGGTACACTGGAAGCTCACAAACCTACCAGCAGCCCATGTCATGTTCTACTTCCGGCAGAAGTTTGCTGCATAGTCAGGACGTGCATCATTTTTTTGAAGTATGTGTGGAAAACAATGCACTCTCTCCAACATAGCGTGGAAGTTGAAGAACATCCCTGGTAATGGCAAAGGACCTGTTTGATCTGCTTTATGTGACAGTTTGTATTGGCTTCCAAAAGGGCACCCCCAGGGATAGAAAGGGTTTCTTCCAGCAAGTTGCCAGAAAATGACTGTTGCGCCAAGGGGCAGACTGCGCTTGAAGCAAATCAGCTCCTGAGGCTGTGTTGTTCAGGCCGTTGATTTGTCTAATTATAGATACATTCCTGGTTCATTGGAGGTCAACAGGGTGACTTTGGGGTAAACGACCCGGGCGACACTCACTTCGGGGCGTCCCGAAGTAAAAGGCCATCAATATCCCAGGAGAATGATGTCCAAAGAATTCCTCCAAAACCGCAACATCTGTATAGATTCCAGATCATGAATGCCCCGTATCTGCTCGCCGCCCAAGTTGCAGAAGTTTGGATGTGCCAGTGGAGGGTGGATGTCTTTGAGGTGGCACCACATCCAGCCATGTATGTTTTGATTTTTCTTTTTGGGCCACTGGATGGATGTGGTGGTGTGTGGGCACGCGTTCATGGAAAAAGGCTCCACGGACTGGAGAACCTGCTCATCGCTTCGCATCTTCAATCTGAAACATCCCATTCAACAGCATTTCTTAAACCTTTCGCCCCAGTTCAATGCCTCGTCTGGAACAGGAAGCCCAGGAACCCCCCAAAAAACAGCACCATTGTTTCTCTTCCTTTTTCCAGTCCTCCCTCCCATCCCTTCCGTGAACCGAAGCCTCGCCACCACCGTTGAAAAAATATACTTTGCTTCGAGTGATTCCCAGCCTGAAAGGCGATTTGTGCGGAGTGACGTGATGTTCTGACGCGCAGCATATAGGATATACAAGCCACGAGAAATGCTGATGGAAAGGGGGGTTTGGAGGTGGGATGGGTTGGCTTGCAGCCGGGCCTGGAGGTCTTCGGCTGTGGTGGGCTTGGTGGCGTTCAAGAGGTGGCTGATGTTGAGGAGGGTATCTTGGGGGGGTCCGGTTGGGAGAGCAGGTCGGCGATGCAGGTCGCAATCCATTCCCCTGTCATTTCAACTATAGTCGAATCTCAACCCCATATCATATAATCATATTATATATATATATATCCGAGACAGTGTCATCAAGCGTCATCTTTGAGTTGTGGGAGGCCAAAGCAGAAGCAAGACCTCAGGCGAAGCCAAGCGGCGCGGTGACAGCACTTTGGTTCACACTGTTGGCTTGTAAATGTTCACCTGCAGAGGTAAAGCATCTTCACCGCGCTTCCACTGTGCGAGTGCCATGGAGGTGCTCGAGCGCTGCGATCACGCAGTCAAGAGTCACCACCACAGTACATGGCGGTGAGCCAGAGCGGCACGCCTCCGAAGGCCCACAAAGTCTGGCCCAGCACAACGACCAGCTTGCAGCCCATCCAAGGGGTCGGTACAACCAAGTAGCGCCCACTGCGGTCTGGCGCTTGCTGTTGGGGTCCGGTAGTGCCCACTGCGATCATGCACTTGCAGTTGAGGTCCAGGAGTGCTCACTGGGATCATGCACGTGCAGTTGAGGTATAGCCCATTGCGATCTGGAGCTGGCAGTTGAGGTGCAGTAGTCAAGAAGACAAAGAGAGGAGAGGAGGAGAGGAGAAGAGCTCTGATATAAGTAATCTAACATAATCTAACAACCCTCACCTGGCAGGTGGAGAAACAAATAAACCCGCCGAAGTCAACGCTGGGGCGGCCAAGGCTCCGAAGGATGAAGTGATGGTGCCCTGAAGCCATTTAAAATATAGAGTGCCTCGCTCCGCCCAAAAAAGCTCGGCCCCTTCTAGAATAGCGCAGAAGCCGAGGCGGATATCCAGGGGCGTCTTCCAAAGCTTACAGCTGCGGAGTGGCTTTGTTGAGCTCGTTTGGACAGCCAAGATGGGTCACTCAAAGCCACTCGAAATCCGGTAGAACGTGCGTGATTCGTGTCAAGTACGGACGAACCACTGGCGACGTTTGGTTGGAAACAATGACATCCCGTGTTTGTTCTACTTTTTGAATGGACCTTTTTGCCAGCTTCTAGCCAGAATCACCATGTTTTTGGTAAGGTTCCCTCTACAGTATTAGCAGGATTCAACTGCTTCGATCAAGGTGCTATTGCCACCTCCGGCTGCGGTGTCCACCAGGAGGCTGCGGCCCACGTGGACAACAGAAGGTGAAGACTCCGTGCCTCCAACGAAAGGTGAAGACTCCGTGAACCACCTCCCTGCGGCTCTTTCATCAGAGGACCATTGCAGAGCATTCCATGTATATGGTGTATGGGACACGAGTGCGGTGGAAGAGCCAAGCTTTTCGGGTTTGAAAAACCACCTGTTTGGTATCTGGACAATGGTAATCATGGACGAGGGACAATGCCATCCACGTAACCATGATGATGTCAAAACATGTTTCATACTCCCGAAATGACATGTTCTAGCTGGATGACATGGCCACGCGACGAAGGGCCGATGAACTCCTCTGTGAGACATGCGATCGATGAACTCCAAAAAAAGACAGCACACATTGCGTATCTGGACTCTTAGAGGACTGATTGCGAACACCTCTACAAGAGGGGGGCCGATTTCACACTCCTTTCCTTGAGACCTGTGCTTACCTGCGTGGAACTCTGCATGGATATTGTGCAAACGTTGGCTGCTTCATAGGTGGCTGTGATTTCCAAGATCGAGTCAGGAGTCGTCACCCCCTTAAAATCCTAGTGCAGAACATTTTGAGTCCAAGAGGTACACACGCCCAGGGCTATTGTCTTGGTAACACGTAACACCTGATAAGAAGGTTGGTCTTAGACAAAAAGCTCGAAAAGAAAGCTACAAACACAGCAGCACACCCAAAAACAACCTCTGATGTCCGTTGAATCCAGCTGAATGCCCCCTTCTTATTCGATGGAGAAACAACATAGAAACGCAAAAAAACATTCAAGAACACACAAAACAAAACATAAACAACAAAATGAAAGCACACATCCTACAAACAGCCTACACACGCGCACAACGCATGCACTGCAGTAAACCCCCGCCAGGTCCCTCCGTCCATCCTCGCCTATCAACAGCAGCGCGGCGCTTCGAGTCTCGGCGCTCCAGCGGTTCACTCCTCGCGCGGGACGGGTGCGGGCAGTCGTTTCCAAAAGCTAAGCAGCTGCAAAGGTCCTTGGGGAATTTCCTGAGGCTAAGTCTTTTCATGGTCTTATAAATGGTCCATCTCTTCCTGTCCTTGCCGCCTGTCCTTGAGTCGGACAGGGTCTTTGAGGTCTTTATATAATCCGGTTTGACTGTTTGATCTGATCGATGTGTTCTTCGACCAGATTCTAGGTGTCCGTTTGACTTCTTTCTTCAACTTTCTTCCATCTTCCAGGAGTTGAGGCCTCACAGACGTTCAAGGTATCAAAACCATGGACAAGTCATGAAGCAAACATATTCTACAACCACTCTTGCCTGGTCAAATACCATCAAGTACTCATTCCTTCAAGCTCGGAAGTGCTGATCAAGGGAAACAGCCTTGTTCTCAGCCGATCAAAGCAGTACCTTCCTTTAAGACTCCGGAAAACCAGTGCTTGAGGTAAATCATCTTCGACAATGAAGCCGGCGTGAAAAAACATGAAACAACTGTGCCTGTGTCAAACTCGTCCATCAACAGTAGTATAGAAAATGTATAGACCATAGAGGAAGATGGCACTGGCACCTACTCTGATGTCTTTCGGATGGGGGTCCATTTTTTCACCACCCAACTTGAGGTAACTTGTGAATCTAACCTCTCAACTCACTATTATGTTTTACTTGTAGCCTTATCGGGCACCCGCCTGTGAGCAGCCGCACGTCCACCACGAAGAAGACGTGATCCTTGACACGTCGTCGGACCCTGTCGGACCCGGGTCCGGTCGCCGGAGCCTTTTCTGAAGCGCAACCAACAACAAGCAAACTGATGGGAAAAAAACAACAACTGACTTGGTCCAAGCTTTATAGACTTATGTTTTACTGTTTTACTTTGAGTCTCTTCACGGCCTCAACTGCATCGTTCCCTGTTTGGTCTCCGACATGGTGCGGCCTAGAGACCGAGCTGGACCGTCGGGGTAGCTGGAGCAAAGGAGTGGGAGCCGCCAGACCCAAGTCCGTCCAGGCTGAGAACCTTGGTGTGGCGATCCTCCAGTTCAGTGGGGCCAAGTGAAGTCGCTATGAATCTGAATGAATCCTGGCAGGTGGTCTTGGTGAAACTTCTGGTGATTTTGGCGGAACTTCTGGTGATTTCTATGGAAGAATGGCCAGGTAGCCATGACTCCATCAGGTCCTTAGCCCCTTCTTGTTGGGGTCTTCAGAAAAGGGAAGTGATCTGCACACAAGGAAAGACCATGCCGGACAAGAAACGACCTATGTCCAGAACATCACGAACACATAGCGAACACCACACCGAAAAGTGTATAGTACAGAGTCCAACATCGATGGTTAGGAGACGGACATCGATGGTGAGACGGACGTGAACTCTTCAGAAGTCTTCAACCCCGATTGGTCAGGCCGTTCTGAGAGGACGGCCGCCCCCTGGATTTGAGGTTTGACACACCAAATTGACCGTGGAAAAGAGCATTGACAGGAAGCTTGTGATATTTAAGTCGGGTGTTCTATGTTTCATGCAAAACACGTTTCAGTGAAGGTCACAAGCTTGGGTGGAAATCACAATGCACATCTCTGCCGTCTCGGCATGGTGGCTGAGCCCGAGCCAACCGAGCCAGGAACATCGCCGACCGCAACTCAGTCCAATGACCGAGCACTTCTCTTCACCGAGACACTGCAGAGTAGCGGTGAGACTATTTTGTGTGATCCCTGGCTGCATCAAAAGCTTCACGTCCATGGCGGCCTCAGGAGAAGCGCCGGATTGGCGCGAGGTACAAACGGCGGCCCTGCCGTGTTTTGACACAGGCTGACAGGATCTGACACCAATGAAACAGGGGTCTTCACTTCCTGTTGCAAAGCCTTTTCCTTGAAACACAACATGGCAATTGAAGGGCTCTTCAGAGGGTGTTCTCGTGCTGGTACCCTTTTTGGAAATGTCTGTGGCCGTCTTCAACACAAGCATCGGTGGTAGAACTCAGCACAATCGCCATCGAAGCCTCCCAGCAGAGGACGAGCCCCAAGGACCCAAGATGTGCAGGTAAAATGGCAAGCGGCGAATGGGTTTTCCCTTGGCAAACGTTGGTTCCAAGAGAAAGCCTGGTCTCTTACACCCCCACACACACACACACTTATAGATATGCGTACTGACTTGACAGCGGTGCCACACGCCAGCCTAAGTAAAAACCTAAGAAGCCAGGACAGGTAAAGTATGGGGTTCCAAACCTCTCAAAGCCTACGTAGCCTCCAACTCCAAATCGACACATCCAAAGCGACAATGCACATCTGCCGATGATGAACCGATGCAAAGGCTGGTCGTCTTGTTCTAGTCAAAGGCTGGTCGTCTTGTTCTAGTTAGAAGCAGGGACCATGATGACGTGTCTCAAGTACAACTGCAGGTACACACGGATGATCAGTCCGTGCATCGCACTCCAAGGCATAGCTTCGTTGCACTGAGTTTGCCAAGGAGTGCTCAGTGCCCCTGCTGATGTAAAAGAAAAAATCAAAAGAATCCCTGTGACTACAAGGGGCACACACACACGCCTCCCGAGGGGAGGCAAAACTTAAGGCTAGGACGAATGTGCAAATCTGCGCGCAGGAAAGACAAAAAGAATGAAAACATGAGAAGGAGGACGAGACGGGACAAAAGTGTGCGTGGTTGCGATGAAAGAGAAACCAAGTGCACAGGGACAACCGATGAGCCACACCTCATTGTCGAGACCTGGGCGACCTAAAAACTGGGTTGTAGATGTGCACGTACACGCTAAGGCCGGGGCCGATGTGCGCGCAAACAAAGGAAAGGATGAGATGACGAAACATGAAGACAGGAGGACATGAAAGAAAAGAGGAAACAGAAGTGTGTGACGGGGAAAGGATGAAAGGGGAACCAAATGGAGGAAACGAGAACCAATGAAGCCAAACCTCATTAGAAGCGCCTGGGACCTCGCCTCGTTTGAATGTATGCGCTGTGTGTGCACCTGAGAGTGGGAACCTCAAAAGTACTTCGGTCGCTCTGACCACGTTGAGGCGTTAAGCCAGCTTAGACCGCTGCGGTCACGTAAAGGCATGACCCAACTTGGAATTCCAAAGATGAGACAAAAATCTGAGTTCTCTCGGCCTAGGCCACCTACGCTCGCTGCGAGCTGCTCTGTATCCGGGCAGGGGATACGTTCGACAAACTCCCGGACTCTCACTAGGAGAGACACACTTATAGATATGCGTACTGACTTGACAGCGGTGCCACACGCCAGCCTAAGTAAAAACCTAAGAAGCCAGGACAGGTAAAGTATGGGGTTCCAAACCTCTCAAAGCCTACGTAGCCTCCAACTCCAAATCGACACAAAGCGACAATGCACATCTGCCGATGATGAACCGATGCAAAGGCTGGTCGTCTTGTTCTAGTTAGAAGCAGGGACCATGATGACGTGTCTCAAGTACAACTGCAGGTACACACGGATGATCAGTCCGTGCATCCCACTCCAAGGCATAGCTTCGTTGCACTGAGTTTGCCAAGGAGTGCTCAGTGCCCCTGCTGATGTAAAAGAAAACAATTCAAAAGAATCCCTGTGACTACAAGGGGCACACACACACTCTGACATTCTGACATTGGGTTTCAGTTAGCTCAATTCCCACGTCGAGAAGGAAGGTGAGTGAACGGAAAGGCGCATGAGTCAGCAAAACAGTATTGTTGAACAAGAGTTTCTCAAAACGCTCAAGTGAAAGCGGCGATCAGCTGCGGCAAACGCGGCAGGAAAGGGTTTAGGGAGATAGCATGCAGGAACCACCATGAATCAAATCGAAAGTGGAAAAGCTTGAGCAACAGTTTCCGGTGCAGGTACGTCGGCAAGCGTCCTTGCCGATATCCGCAGGACACTGCAGAGAGCTTTGTTAAGTGGAGCTCTGGCCTGCTCCACTTGCCTGCTTGGAAACATGGGAACCCTTAGGGACAGGGGTTGACACACACACACACACACACACGGTGCCGCTTTGCGGCGCTCGCGCGGTGAACCTGAATAGATACCTAAAAAGCCTTAGAAACAAAAGAAAGAAACACAGAAAGAGCAGCGCTAAGAGGGCAAGAGAGAAAGATAGGAGTAGAAAAAAGGTGAATACTTAGCCCTCGACTGGGGCAGGGAAACGAGCCTCAAGAACAACCTAAAAAGCCTGAGAGAAAGCCCAAGAAACGACCGAAAGCGTAAGAAAGAAAGGGGGGGGGCAGGGAGGGGGTGTATGTAGCATGTGTGTGTCCATGTGTGTGTGTGTATGACTACTTAGCACTCTAGAGTTACTGACTACTTAGCAGAAGCGAATTAAGTGCAATAGTTAGGGAGCGGGACTTTAGTCTTAGACCGCCGGGGTAGAGAAGACAAGAACAGGGACAACAAAGGGAAAGGCACCGACACACAAGTGTGTCGAGTACCATTTCCCTGTGTTAACCTAATTAGGTAGGGAGTAGAACTCAGCGGGGGGGGGGGTTGGGAAAACATGCCTGGCC